ATTGTCACTTTGAATAGAAGTAATGACATAACCTTTCTCATTATGTAGAACCTTGGCAAGCTTTTTAAAAGATTTGAAAGAATCAGATTTGACTTTTAGAAATATAGTCCAAGTAAATGCGGAAAAATCATCAACAATTACCATGATATAGAGATTACCACCTAGGCTTTTATTTCTTGAAGGACCAACCAAATCCATGTGAAGCGGTTCCAAAGGTGCGGAAGTAGAAACAATGTTTTTGTTTGAAAAGGATTTTCTAGTTTATTTACCTTTTAAACAAGCTTCACAGATTTTGTCTTTCAGAATTTGAAGCTTAGGTAGCCCAGAGACTAAATCTTTAGAAATTAGTTTGTCAAGATGATTAAGATGAATATGTGCAAGCCTTCTATGCCATAACCAAGATTCTTCTTCTTTAGTAAGAAGACAACTTTGAGATGAGATAGAATGTTTGATATCTAGCATGTAAATGTTATTTAACCTCTTACCTACCAACATTACCGTGTCAGATTTTGGCTCACAGATTAGGCAAATTTCTGGTTTGAAGATAACCTTGTGACCTATATCACATAATTGACTTATACTTATTAAATTGTGCTTGAGACCTTCAACAAGAAGAACATTGTGAATAGTCACGGTTTCACCATCTCCTATATCTCCAGAACCTAAGATTCTTCCCTTGTTGTTGTCTCCATATGTCACGTGTCCTCCATTCTTCAATCTCAGTTTCTGGAATTTTGAAATACCACTTGTCATATGCCTTGAGCATCCACTGTCCAAGTACCACAGTGATTCTTGCTGTTGTTCCTGAAAAATCAAACATCAAGTATTTGGTACCCTTAATTACTTTGGGTCCTTAGTAGTCAAATTTTCTGTTTCACATATTTTGGAACCCATCTCATTTTACCCTGTGGCACAATGTTTTCTAATATGACAAAATTTTATAGTATGCCCTTTTTTTCATACAATAATGACAAGATAAGAAAGAAGATGCTGTTGGTTTTCTAAAAGAAAAGAAATTCAAATATCTTTTAGTTTTAGTCTCAACCTTAGGTTTGTACCCAATTCCATTATGGTCAAAAACACAGTTTTGGGACCCAAGAAGTGTATCAAAGTTTTTTTTGCCTTGAGTGAACTTAGACAAAGTTTTAATCAAATACTCAACCTTATTCTGCAAAGAGATACACTTTTCACACTTGTTGTTAGCAGCAGCATTACCAGTAGATGAATTATTGTAGATTATCTCAAGATGTTCCATATCTGTCTTACTTTCTAGTAATTCTCCTTCTAGGATTTTAACCCTATTTTCTAACCAGTTATTTAGTCCTTTTAACCGATTATTTGTATGAGATAAATTCCTAGCTTCATTATGCATTTCATTGAAAGCATTTAATAACGTGTTGTAATTCATTTCATTTTCTGTGGGGGTTGAACTTACATGCGATGAAGAGGATTCACAGTCAGCCATTAAGCATAGATTCACTTCTTCACCTTCAGCTACAGAACTAGAGGATGAATCATTGTCTTGCCAAGCTATGTAGGTCTTTTTCCCTTTGTACTTTAACTCTTTCTTGTTTTGATTCTTGGATTTTTCTAGACATTCACTCCTTATGTGTCCCTGCTTACCACAAGAATAACAAGTAAAAGTATTTTGAGTAGATTCAGTTTTTTTATCAGTGTACCTTTTAACCTGGCCAATTCTGTTCTTCTTTCTAAGAAATTTCCCAAACTTCTTAACCAACAGAGTCAGATTCTCATATTCATCTTCTTCAGAATTGCCACTTTCTTCAATTGTCTTGAGAACAATGTTTCTACTTTTCTTTTCTGCATTTTCTTGTTCTCTAAACCTATTGATCTCCAACTCGTGTTCCCTTAGCTTACCAAACAATGATGCAGTAGTCATCTCGAGTTAAGTCTCTTGATTCCGATATAACTTGTCACCTTTGGTTGCCAAGTTACTGTCCAAACATTTTAGAATCTTGATGTTTAACTCTTCCTTGTCAAATGTCTTGCCTAATCCAATTAGATGATTAACTATATGCGTGAATCTTTTCTGCACATCTGCAATGGTTTCACCTTGCTGCATTTTGAACAATTCATAGTCCCTAATTAACTCATGCTTTTTTGCCCTTTTCACATCAGAGGTACCCTCATGAGTGACCTCTAGAATCTCCCACATTTCTTTGGTAGAGGCACATTGAGAAACCCTGAAAAAATCATCAAGATTTAAGGCAGAGGTAATAATATTCTTAGCAGTATAATCATATTGTACTTTCCTATTTTCTGCATCAGTTAATTCAGCCCAGTCTTTTTCAACAATTTTACCATCTACTGTATGAGTTGGTTTGAAAGGCTCATTAACAATTGTATCCCAAATACTCATATCAAGAGATTCAATAAAGATTTTCATTCTAACCTTCCAGAAAGAATAATTCACACCAGCAAATAGAGGAGGCCTATTAATAGAGGCTCCTTCCGAAAAAGTCATCTTTCCCTCAGCCATTTAAACCTTTGGACCGAATTCTTGAGTAACTTACAAGAACCAGCTCTGGTACCAATTGTAAGAATTAATGGTTGAGTTCAAGAGGGGGGGTGAATTGAACTTTTGAAAACTTTTTGAAAAACACTCATTCTTTTGGAAGAATGGTTAAACTTTATTCAATCTTTTGTTAGGCAGATTTGATTTTAAACAAAGCAAGACTATAAGCAAGAATTAAAAAGAGATGAAAGCAGAAATTCAACACAAGAGTTTATACTGGTTCACTCTTTCCTAGAGCTACGTCCAGTTCTTGACAAATCTACCAAGTTCTACTAATTCCAAGTGAAAAATACAAACCAGTAGATATACACCAATCTACCCCAAGAACTATCTTACAACACCACAAGATAGACTCTTGAATTAACCACCCAGTAACCAAACCCAGTTACTATAATCAGTGCAGATTCAAACCCAATCTACACAATTAACCTTTGTACAAGTATGAAAAGAATAAACCTGGACTGCAGCTTTAACAATATAGAAGTCCAGAAGCAATTTTCCCACTCAGAACTTTCTCTCTTGATGAACTTTCAACAATCTTGATCTAAACGCCTTATGATATGAAAAGTTTTATGAATGCACAGAGAAATGCACTAATATGATAACTCTAAGATTCTTTTCAAATGTTTTTCAGATTGTATGTTCCAACAGAGAAATTAAAACTGTATTTATAAAGTAAAAGAGATAAGTCTGATAGATTCAATTCATAAAAATGCCTTGGAGTCGCAGATGACCGATCAGAATAGTTTTATGACTGATCAGAACAAGATATGATCGATCAGAATTGAGTTGTGATCGCTCAGAATTAGATATGATCGATCAGAATTGAGTTGTAATCGATCAAAATATTTTTCAATCGATTAAAATATCGTTTTAATCGATTGATTTTATTTAAAACTAATTCAATCGGTTGTTTCGAGTTTTCAATGGATTAAATCAGTTTAGCAAAAGATAATAGCTCTATGTTTCAATTGGTTAAAACTTATTTCAACAGATTGAAATCCTGTGATACCTTAGAATGAAAAATAATCTTTCTGTTTCAATAGATTGAACTTGATTTCAACAGATTAAAATTGTGAAACCTTTAATATGGAAAAATCATTAAGAACATTTTAACCTGTTGATTCTGCGATTCAATGAATTAAAAATTTTGACAACATATAAACATTTCCTGCTTTAAGTGATTTTAATAGATTGAAATTTCTTTTTAACAGATTGAAAAACTCAATTTGTTCTTTTAATGCTAAAAGGTTGGTTTTTCATGCAGTAAAATGAGTTCAATGAGATGCATCATTTAAAGGCGCTTATCACAAGATCTATTGAACTATCAAGAGATTAAATTCTAAACCTATAACCTATTCACCTACACACCCACAAACTAAACTCTCTAAACTCTATATGTCTTCATCAAATCCAACAAGTGTTTCAAATACCAATTAGTTATGCTATCAGAAGAAGATCCATTTGGCAAAAAAAAAAAAAACAATGTTTTGGGTGTGCATTTCTGTCAAGGCTCTTATCAACCTCAACCTGACATCGGTAAAGAACTCCTTAACTTCTCGGATGAAAATCTGACCGTCAAGCAGATCCAATAGTTTCTCGAAATAGTCAACTACATTAGAGAATTCATCCCTATCTTGCCAAATACACAAGTTTCTTATCCAAACTCTTAATGAAGAATCCACTTCCATGAGGGTCAGAGCATACCAGGGCCATTAAAGAACTGAAGAAATAAAAAGCAAGTTAGCCTCTTTGTGCGCTAACAACCATAAGAAATTTTCTCATCAAAAGCCTCTATGGAAGAATCATGAGTTCTTTGTACATTTTTCAAACTCACCAAAAACGTCAATTCGATGAAAGTCACACATCCAGGAATGTCACCATCAGACCTACAGTTAGCAAGACAAGAGTATTAGGAACGATTGAAACAAGGTCTGATCGAACCGACCCAATCCAATTGGGTCTGTTAAGCCTTTTATGTGGAAAAGAGGTCCGAAAAATCAAAGGAAAAAAGAAGTTAGTTATCGATTACAAGTCTTTTAATCATTTTCTTAAGAATGACAAATTTTCAATACTCAAAGTCTCATCCTTGCCTACTCTGATAAAAGAAGCCCATATCTTTTCTAAATTTGACCTCAAATCTGGATTCTGACAATTAGGAATTGACCCAGCTGACAGATACAAAATTACTTTCTATATACCCAATGCTCAATACCAATGGAAAGTAATGTCCATTATGCTTAAGATAACCCTATTAATGTCTCTCCTCCACAATCATGCTTGGAAGTCCAGCTTGCTTCTTTCTTAGAAGTATGAGAAAGCCATTAAAGCCCCTAAACAAAAGACTACTACAATTGCAACGAGATTGGCTACTGCAACGGATATTCCCTTCTTCGAGACAGTGTTGGCTGTTGGGTTGCCCTGTGCAGTATTATTTTTCAGATTAGTTCCAACGTACTCAACATTAATTTGTTTGAGCGAATTTTGGGATTTCACCGGCCAGAGGATTGTTAGAAAGTAACAACTGTGTCAAAGATATCATTTTAGTCAGATCATCGGGAATTTGACCAGAAAAGTGGTTATTTGAGAGATCCAAGACTTCCAGGCTATTCAACCTACCAAAACTGCTAGGAATAGAGCCACTAAAGAGGTTGCTACTAAGATTCAGTGAAACCTGAAGACTCAATGGCATTTTTGGAATCACACCTCTTAGGTGGTTTTCCCCAAGTTGGAGTTCGAAAAGAACACTCAAGTTGTCAATGGTTGTCGGTATGGAACCACTAAGATTGTTGCTATGCAAGTACAAGAAGTTAAGAGCATTTAAACTTGTAATCTCAGATGGAATTGATCCACCCAGAGAATTCCTGCTCAAGTTCAGGGTTGACAGCGTATGAAGTTGGCCAATTTGAGTTGGTATTGTACTATTAAGCTTGTTTAATTGAAGCTTCAAGACTTGAAGATTCTCAAGATTACCAAGTTGTTGTGGCAATACACCACTCAACTGGTTCTGAGCTAAATTCAACAATGCCAAATTCCTGCAAGAACCCAACTCAGCTGGTATTGATCCCGTAAAGCTATTGTTATCCAGCTCCAAGTATGTCAAATTATGACCTTCTACAAAAGCATCTGAAGGAATGTTTCCATTCAGTTGATTGCTCCCCAACCTCAACCTGAACAACTTTGAAGAAAATTTCGAAGGTAATGATCCGTTTAGCATATTATTGGACAAATCTACAACCTGCAACTGTGGTGGAGACAAAAGATCTCCCGGAATAGTTCCATACAGATTATTAAAACTAAGATCCAAACTGGTGAGATATTTTGTAATTCCTGGTGGTATAGTACCTGTGAAATTGTTATAATTTGCTACAAATCTTGAAAGTTTGGTGATGCTCGTTAGGGAAGTTGGAATTTCACCAATGAGGTTATTAGCGGAAAGGATCAAGGTTTCCAATTTAGAAAGCTTCCCAATATTGATAGGAATAGACCGTGAAAGATTATTGGCCTTAAGATCAATCCAAGTCAAATTTTCATAACTCAATAATTCATCAGGGATTTCGCCATCAAAGCGATTGTTAGAAAGCAGAAGATTCTCTAAAACCATGGACTTTCCCAAATTGGTTGGAAGAGACCCAGTGAATTTATTGAAAGTAAGATTCAAACTTTTGAGGCTAACCAACCCATCTAACTCGAATACAATATTTCCTCTCAACATATTGAAAGACATATCCAGGGATTCCAATGCTTCAAAACCATGAAAAGTAGGTAAAACACCTCCTAAGTTGTTAGTACTGAAATTCAACAGCTTCAACCCCTTAATCTTTCCACACTCAGTGATGAATCCATCAGGGATTGAGTACAGATGGTTGTTGGAGACATCAAGATGCTCCAAAGTTTCAATTTTGCAAACAAGAGGCAAAAGGTCAGAAGAAGAGAGTGAGAACCCAGATAAAGATATCCCTACTACAGAGAAATTGGTAAGGTCACAACTCACTCCCTTCTATGCACATGAGTCTGAGCCACTCCATGGAACAGTAGGAGCAAGAGTATTTGAAAGGTTATTAATGGTTTCTGTTTGGTTTTGAGATAGCCAGGACAATACCATGGGATAGAAATAAAAGAAGAACAAAATACTAATGAAAGATATGGGGATGTACTCATAGCTTCCCATGTTCTTACCTATGTCTAATAGTAGGTTTTGATATGTGATTATCCTTCACATTTATAGAAAGCCAGGTGCAAGGTTGAGTATTAACAATATATTAATATAAATTTAGATAAATTTCTGTTATATGAAAAATTGCTTTTATATTTTCATTTTAGTCTTTTTTTTTCCTCTCCTTTTAAGTATTTAGTAGATATAATAATACTATAATTTGAATTGTAAGTAGAGAATGTTCCTCAATTATTTGGTAACAATAATAAGTAATATTACCTCTAATGGAAGGGAACGTAATGTAGAGAACTAAAGCAATAGAAGAAATTCTGTATTTGTATTATTGGAAACGATAATTTTGTTAAATTAGAGAAAAAAATATTATATAGCAGTATTATAGAAGATAATTAAATAAAAATTACTCATATAGAAAGGTAACTAAGGAAGAAGATTCACAAAACAATGATGAATATTTTTAGTTTTTATAACTCAAAAATTTTATCCTTTAATAGATGATAAAATAGATCAATTTGCTTCATTTTTTTCTAATCCATTATAATTAGGACGAACTATAGATCTTATTCTGTCCTACCAAAAAATTGATTAATAGACTAACTGGATTAGTTTGTAAATAATTTTTTTTAAATAAACTTTGTTATATGTGTTTTTTTAAATATATCTTTAATTATATGAATAATTTTAAATTTTTATCTATTAATTATTATTTTTATTAGATAAATTAAAAAATTATCATGTATTAAAATAAATAATTATAATAAATAATTTACACTTAATCGATTAATTTTTATAATTAAATTATAATATTATAATATATTTACATATTTTTAATAATATTACAAAAAAATATTTTTAATTATAATATTTTAATTTTAGTTTTAGTATATAAATATATTTTTTTAAAATAGACCGAGTAAGTCAACCCGTTCGCCCTGCCCTTGGCCCACCAAGTTGGCAGAATAGGAAATATGGGTCAAAATGGGTTGACGGATCAAAACTCCAATTCGTCCTATCTTAGGCAGCCTAGTGGGCCGGCCGGTTTGCCGAACCTAACATGTTTTGCTATCCTTACTTAAAAGTTCTATCTCTCATTTCTCTCTCATCTAAATTTGTCCTTATTAATTTTCTACTCATGACAATTTATTCCCTTTAAAATTAACTTGTCCTCAAAGTTAAAGTTTGGAAAAGCTTTCTAAGTTTATTAATCTTTTCAATTTGTCCATTTCATCTCACTAAATTAGATGTTGTTGAACTTATTTTTACCCGAAGAATTACCTCGATTATAGTCCTTGATTTTGTTTAATTGCATAAGCAAAATGAGTGACAGTGGTAAATAAGGTTGAATGTGGTTGGTTTACATTGTTTAACTATCAAACATGAAATATTGGATGATTTTAAAGAAAGTGGGTAACAATAATACGTAAGCCACTTGGTCTGTGCAACCAATCATTGGAAAATGGACAAAGTATCCTAATCCCGATGTTTGATTCTGTTCTGTCTAAGAACGAGAGTATTCTGATCTCATATTTGCTATGATAATATCATTAATGTCAATTTTCATATTTGAGATATTATCTGTTTTAGAGCTTTAATTTGTCATGATTGTATATGTACCATAATAGATTCTTTTTTCAAAGAAATAGAGTTTTGTCCATAAATATGGTTGTATTTTATCCAAAACCATGTGTCCAATGTTGAGTTCACTATAAGATCTCTTTTTATTCGCATACTTTTTCATGTGTGCTCAAGCCTTGTGGAGATTAAATTTTAATTTAAGAAGAAAATGATCTCTCTTAGTCAATATGTCTTACATAATAGTAGGCTCTTTTACACCAAGAACATACTTGAATATGGAGGATCATGATCATAGATAGTCTTGAAGGAGTCATGTCAATACAGTATGGAAGACAATATTATACCAATATTTAGCGTGAGGAAGTAGTTTAATCTAGTAGGTGAAACATCTAAGATATGTTTCAAGGCATTTATTAAGAGTTTCTTATTGCTCATCCATTTTGGGATGCTAGGAGTGCTCATGTTAAATTAAATTTTGCCAAAAATTGCTAGTAAAGACTTTGTCTCTACTTGAGACAATAATTTTGAGAATTCATGCAATTTGATTACCACTTTAAGAAAATCTTAGCAACTACCTTACTAGTATAGTTAGTCTTGTAAGATTTATAGGCTGAGATCAAAAGGGGAGGTGAATTGATTTTTCCAAAATTTTCGCCATTTACAGATACAAATTACCAATTTGAAAGATTAAGAAATCTGACCAGGTATTAAACCAGGAAAAACAATCAGAATTGAATAAGGTTCAAGTAGAATTAAAGAAAATGATGAAAGAGGAAAAGAAACAACAAAAATTATACTAGCTCACCCAAACCACTGGGCTACGTCCAGTTCTCAACCAAATTTCAGTTGAGTTTCACTAGATTGATATTGTTTTGATTACAGAACAAAATCACAAAACACTCAACCTGCACCAAGAATCAAATTCCAGTTCTTGAACCCAACCTGTAACCATGTTCCAGTTGTAGAACTAGTGCCCAAACTTCCAAACACCAAGACAAAAAAGATTTGAAAAAGAAATGAAAGAATGAAGAAACTAGAACAAACTAACCCGGTTATGTAGATGTAGAAATTCCACTGCAGATTGAGTTTCTTCACAAGCAAGAAAACAAAAATGCCTCAAAAGAGAACTTTAAAAAATCCCACAAATAATAACACACTTCTCTTTTGGAAAGATCTCTATTAATTGCTTGATAGATTTCTAAAAGATGTGTCTTAAAATGTTGAAGTAAATATGTTTATATAGAGATTTTCCTAACAAATTGATTTATTTAATCAATTATTTAGCCTTTTAATTGATTAAAATAACTTGACTTTAACGATTTTAAGCTGATAAAAAGATCATTTAATCGATTAAAATGTTCTACCATATTTTCCAGAAATATTTTAATTGATAAAAATGTGGTTTAATAGATTAAAACAGTTACCTCAAAAATCCTCAAGTGATTTTAATCGATTAATTTAAAGTTTAATTGATTAATTCGAAGTTTAATTGATTAATTCGAAGTTTAATCGATTAATTCAAAATTTAATCGAATAATAAACTAACAGAACATTTTCTAAAGCTTCTTAAGTGTTTTGAACTGACAAAAACTTGATTTAATCGATCAAAACATTTAAACATAAATTCTTTAAATGATTTTAATCGATTATTTCAAAGTTACATCGATTAAAATACTGATAGAACATTTTCTAAAATTTTCTTAGCAGAAGGTCTTCCAAAACTTCTTGAGTGAAAATAATCTATTAATTTGAATATGTATTGATTAAAATAGCGACAGTACATATTATAAGTGGTTTTAATCGATTATTTCAAAAATACATAAATTAAAAATATGTCATAAGTGTTTTTAGCTGATTTTAATCGATTAATCTATAAATATATCAGTTAAATTCGAGACTTAAGAACATATTTATAAATGGTTTTAATCGATTATTTCAAAAATACATAAGTTAAAAATATGCCAGAAATGTTTTTAGTCGATTTTAATCGATTAATCTATAAATATATCAATTAAATTCGAAACTTAAGAACATATTAACCGATTAAAAAGATTTTTAACATATTAAAAATATAGTTCATGTTATAAGTGATTTTAATCGATTATTTCGAAAATACATAAGTTAAAAATATGCCAGAAGTGTTTTTAGCTGATTTTAATCGATTAATCTATAAATATATCAGTTAAATTCGAGACTTAAGAACATATTAACCGATTAAAAAGATTTTTAACATATTAAAAATGAGACATTTTTATCTCTTTCAAATGATAGAACCTCATGCAGTAGGAATGAATAGATGATTATACCTATTTAATATTGATGCAGACTCACTAAACACTACACCCCATATCCCATAAATCCTCTTATTTCATCAAATCTTCCTTTATTCAAAGATTCCTTTAACTTCATCAAATCTTCCAGATTTTCAATCATCATCAATTTCCCCCCTATTTGATGAAGATAACTCCTTTTTTAATCCTGCAGAGAAGCCACTAGGTGTTTCTGTGTTAGTGAGTTCATTTAATATTCCTTTCCCTCTTTGACTTCATCAAAAACAGATAAAAGATCAATTTAATCAAAATTAAGCATGCAAAATACATTAAAGGTTCGAAGTGTTTTGGTTAGAAGCCAGTAATAAAGAAAAAACAAAAAAATAATAAAGGAAAAACAAAAAAACAAAAGAGTTGTGATAAAAGAGAGGGACCCCATTTGCCGTGACTTGTTCAGTCATCCCATTGACTTTGATTCACTTGCATATCCTCCAGTTTAGTGTATAAATAAGCAATTTGATTACTAATATTGGAGAATTGACTATTGGTGTGCTGGTAGTGTTGGTAAGTCATTTGCATATGTTTGTGTTGATTCTCTTACAGGGCTGACATTTGAGACAACATGGTGCACTCAAATTGAGAAAGAGAGAAAGAGGGGTACCACGATTCGGTTGAGCAAAATATGGAGTGATCTCCATGTTCTAAAAATTAGTAGATGTGTGCTTGAAAAACAGTATCTCAATCAAAATAAGAAATTGAAACAAGAATCAAAATCAAAATCGAAATGGAAATTGAAATTAAAATGGAAATCGAAATGGGAATTGAAATGGAAATCAAAATGAAAAGCGAAATGCAATATATTAATCAAAAGTCAAAGTCAGTAATAAGAATCAAAATTGAATTTGCAACAAAAACTAATAAAAATTGGATTGGAAATATAGAAGCAAAATCGACTCTATGAAATTGAAAATAGTCGAAAATACAAAATAGAGATTGAAAGTAAAATGGAAACAAGAAACAAAATTAAAAGTAAAAGTAAAAAAAAATGTAAACAGAAAGTAGAATTGTGTAAACAAAAAGGGTAGAGTAAAATTGAAATTGAAATTGAAAACTGAATCCAATTGAAATTGCATAAATGCAAGAATTAATGAATACAACAAAGCGCGAGAAAGAATTGATTTGAAAATAAGAAATTAGAAATAGAAAACAAAACACTTCTTTTTCTGGAAAGTACTTCAATCGGAAAGTGTAGCAACTGAATTGTGCTCAAGTATCTATTAAAAGGAAATATGAATTCAACTTCTTAACATTTCTTTATCTACTCTATATAAATTATTCTGAAAGAGCACAAAACTAATGGATCAGGGCTGATTCAAAATTGGGCCCATACAATACAATACAGAAAAATCTACACTTTTATGATTTACAAAAATAGATCTGGACACCAAACGGTACGTTACATATGTTCAAATTAAAGACCCCAAGTAAGGAATCCAACGTAAAAAAAAAATCAAGTAAAACAAACAATTGCAAAAAAGATATGAACAAAATAGTAAATAAAGGTCAATGCTGAAAAACATGAAAATATAGTAGAAAAATATAGAAAATAGTACGTATTTACAAAAACTCCTATTTAATACTAAAAATACAAATTCATGTTAAATGTAATGAATATAGGAAAAAGAAATACTTAAGAAATACAATAAGACTATAAAAGTGTGTACAAAATATGCATCATCAGATTCTAACTTATGTTTGAATGTGTAACCGATGATATAGAGGTGATATGTTATGATCTTGTTGAATAACATCCTTAAGAGTAGATAAAATCTCCAATTGAGGTTGAGACCAAGTTATTAAATAGAATAACGATGATATTTTACGTTCTAGGTTTGTAATAAATTGTGCGGTTATATCCAAAAATCTTATGGAGCCTAAGCTTGTTAGTCAAAAGTATGTAATCTATGATTAGTTAAGCTTCTCAAAATTATTTTGTCAGTTTTAATAACAAACTTGTGAACAAAGAAATAATATCTAAACTTTGCAATAGACTCAATAATAGTATAAAATTCTCTAGCATAGTGATGAGTTCCTAGGTGCATCGAAGGCCGAGAGGTCATCCATAGGAGGAATACTAGGAACATGCAAAACTAGAAAGGAGGCTTCCTCCTCACCCTCCATTTTAAATTTACTTAGTATTTTTGTTTCTTAAAAGTTTGGACTCATTTAGGACCACTTTTTACACTTATCTTTCACTGCTTCCATTTTCCTTTTTCTGTCTTTACTTAGCTTTTTGTCAGGTTAATTTTTATTTTAGTGGTTGTCCATTCTCAACCTTTGTTGCTTGGTTATTCTTTTTGTTCTCCTTCTCTCATCCTCCTAATCCTTGAAAATGAACATTCATATCTAAATAGGAAACTATCTTGATGAAGTTAATCTTGTCGCATACACTACAATAAAAGCATCAAATAGTGACCCAAATTTTGGTCACTAAATGACCAAAATCTGTCACTAATTAAATTAGTGACTGAAATAGAAACCAATTCAAATCGGTCACTTTTTCCTTGGTCGCTGATTTCAGTGACTGATTCAGTAACCGAATCAGTGATCGAATCAGTGACCGATTTTATAATTGATCGAATCGGTCACTATGTCGGTCACTAATTTTATTTTTTATTTTTTTAGCTCAAACAAATTTACACTTAATCACCAACTATCTATTGCTTATAGAAACTTGTATCAGATAGCAATATTTGTTGCTTTACAAACAATTGAGTCATCGTTGAAAACATTTATAGCTCAAAAGAATTCACACTTACCATCAAATTTAAACACTATACAAAACTCTCTGAGAGGATTTGGGTAGGAGTCCTTAGAACTTTTATTCTGCCACCTCTACCATCAGCCCCAACAGCTATTACGTTTTGTAGAGTAAATCATCAACAGTATCTTATTCTTTTATTAAAAAAGTATCTTCAAAAATTAAATTGCACCATACCTGAATTTGAAATTGTAAATGGTGATTCCTTTCTAATGTTCACCACAGGTTGTTTAATGGTGGTTTGTAAAGTTACATCTTCATCCATAGGACCAGCTGGAATGTTAGAAATGTCAATGTCAATATCAACTCTGGGAGACTCGGCCAAAGTACATTTTCCTTGCAATAATGTTTTAGTCTTTGTGGTAGACATGGTCCCTAGCTTCGCTAGAGAAGGCTTGCTAAAAGCAATATTATCCCTATCTCGATTTTTGTAGTTTTGTTGTGAACATCCTTGCAAAGCATTAGTGCCTTCTAAATCATCTTCATCAATTGTGATGTAGTCTCTCCTTTTATCAGGAGTTCTATGAGTAATATGCACAACCTTATTTGTAGTATAGCACTGGAGTTCTCTATCTTCAAAGAATGAAAAGATTTACTGTTGTCATTTGCAACCAGGTTTATTCCAGATTTGGGTGTTGAGATTTGTTTATTGTGTTCTTTCAATGAAAATTTACAAGCTATCAATGCATCAGAATCAGAGTTGAAGTTACTCTCATGATTCTTTGAACTCTTTGTGCTTTTTGAAAGTTTCAGAGACATCAAATATTCATTCTCTTTTGCTTCAGCTAATGTCTCCAGTTCTTGTACCCTTGCCTAAAAATGCTCAGAAAACTCTACAAGGTAATATTCATTTAAAAAATTCTACTTATTTATGAGATTAGCACTAGCAAGCTCATCATGTACATACCTTCAGTTTAGCGATCTTCTCTTTAGCCTTATCAAGTTTTTTGCTATAACGGGCCTCACCTCTTCTAAGAACATTGCACTTGGCCATCAATTCTTTATAACTCCTATCAGAATATGAGCAATTCCAATTTACATTTCAAGCAAACCATAATAGTTTTAGTAAACCAGGCACAAATTTAAGGGAAAAACATGTATTTTGTGCCTATAATATAATGAATAGTATCCCAACTAAAAGTGCAAAAAATACATGTTTAATGGTCTCAAATTTCAGGAAATCTAAGAACATTGCACTTGGCCATCAATTCTTTATAGCTCCTATCAGAATATGAGCAATTCCAATTTACATTTCAAGCAAACCATAATAGTTTTAGTAAACCAGGCACAAATTTAAGGGAAAAACATGTATTTTGTGCCTATAATATAGTGAATAGTATCCCAACTAAAAGTTCAAAAAATACATGTTTAATGGTCTCAAATTTCAGGAAATCTAAGAACATTGCACTTGCACTAGTGCAGAATATGGCTTTTACGTCACCCAATTGTCGTCGCATGCACGTATATTCGACGTAAATAAAACGCGGTGGCAATTTTGTAAATATGGGACAAAAAATTTACGTCGCACACCCCAATAGGAGACGTAAAAAGTCATCTTTTACGTCGCACCTGGGAGGCGCGACGTAAAAGATGGCCTTTTACGTCGCGTACGTGGGGACGCGACGTAAAAGCCTTAGCTTTTTACGTCGCGCCCCCGTACGCGGCGTAAAAGGCCATCTTTTACGTCGCGCCTCCCGGTGTGACGTAAAGATGACTTTACGTCGCTTACTACACTGCGCGACGTAAAAAGTCTATTTTATTTCCCTCCCGACCCACTTCCTCGTCTCGCGCAACCAGGGTTTTTGAGAACGACGACGAGAACAACGACAACGGCTACCTCTGCACACCATTTGCGAGCGGTTTTACGAGTGAAAAACATCTACATTGTCGTGTCATTTGACGAACTTCATCTTTCTCCCCGATTGGATTCGAGTTTGAAATCGGTTTTCGTCTACACTCGAGGTTAGTGTTCATTGTCATTGCTATATGTTTACATTGAATCCGTGATTGTTTTTGGGGATCTCAATCACGTTATAGTATGAATGTCTCCATTGGATTGTTATTGGAATGCGGTTATTTGTTTATTTGTTTGAGTGCATTCGGTTTACACACTCCATTGTTGTTGGAACGTGCTTTGTTGTTTGTATATTAATTTTTTTTACATATAATTTTTAAATCTTTAGGAGTGACGAAACTTTATAACATAATATGAATCGAAGTTGGATGAATGCACGTCGTATTAGTGAAGAGTACGAAAAGGGAGTTGAGGAATTTCGAAATTTGCTAGTGAAAATGGAAAAGCTATGAAAGGGACATATTATTGTCCATGTGTTCGTTGTTTGAATCAAATTCGTCATAAACTTGAGGATATACGTGATCACTTGTTTGTTTATGGTATTATTAAGAGTTATACAATATGGACATGGCATGGAGAAATATTAGACATCCCAACTGTGTCAACTACGGACAATTTTGATGAAGGGATGGATGATAATCTAGAGGATATGATACGTGATATTGGTGAAGAACATTTTATGAAAGCACATCTATATGATTCTTTGAAATCTGATTTTGCGCAACAATTGTACATAGGATGTAGTTTTACAAGATTATCGACAACTTTAAAATTGTTTACTTTAAAAGCAAGAAATGGATGGACTGATAAAAGTTTCACCGAATTATTGGAGTTGTTGAAGGAGATGCTTCCTGAAGATAATACATTACCTATTCGTAACTATGAGGCAAAGAAGATATTATGTCCAATGGGTTTAGAGTACAAGAAAATACATGCATGTCCTAATGATTGTATATTGTACAGAAATGATTTTGCTAAATTAAAGATGTGTCAGACATGTGGTTTGTCGAGGTTCAAAACCAAAGTTGAGGAAAGTAGTGGTGAGGAAGAACTAGATGGTCCCCCTGCTAAGGTGTTATGGTATTTGCCAATTATACCTAGGTTTAAAAGATTATTTGCCATAAAAGAAGATGCAAGAAACTTGACATGGCATGCAAATGGTAGAAAATGTGACAATCTTCTTCGACATCCAAGTGATTCTCCACAATGGAAAAGGATTGATGAAACCTTTCCAGAATTTGGTGCGAGCCAAGAAACTTGAGAATTGGATTAGCTACGAGATGGGATGAATCCTTATGGAAATTTAAGTAGTAAACATAGTTCATGGCCAGTTATGTTGATCATTTACAATTTGCCTCCTTGGTTATGCATGAAGAGAAAATATATGATGTTATCTATGATGATTTCAGGACCTCGACAACCAGGAAATGACATAGATGTATATCTTAGTCCTTTAATTGATGATTTGAAGATGTTGTGGGAAACAGGAGTGGATGTATTTGATTCATATCACGAAGTGAATTTCGAGTTGCGTGCAATGTTATTTTGTACTATAAATGATTTTCCAGGCATATGGTAATTTGAGCGGTTATAGTGTGAAAGGTCATTTAGCGTGTCCTATATGTCAAGAAGACACAAGTTATATCCAATTGAAACATGGACAAAAAACGGTGTACAATAGGCATAGAAAGTTTCTAGTTGCTAACCATCCATATCGTAAAATGAAGAAAGCATTTAATGGATGTCAGGAGAATGCAGTTGCATCGAGTACCACGCAATGGTGAACAAGTATATGAGCAAGTGAAAAATATTAATATTGTGTTTGGAAAGACCCAAAAGAAATCCAATGAGAAAAACATTTGGAAGAAACGATCTGTATTCTTCAATCTTCCTTATTGGTGTAAGTTGGAAGTTAGACACTCGTATAGATGTGATGCATGTTGAAAAAAATGTTTGTGATAGTGTAATTGGGACATTGCTTAACATAAAAGGAAAGACAAAAGATGGAATAAAAGCAAGACAAGATTTGGCGGACATGGGTATACGTTCTGAATTACATCCACAATCAATTGGAAAACGCACTTACTTACCTCCAGCTTGTCATACTCTATCAAAGAAAGAAAAGAGAAGCTTTTGTGAGTGTTTACGTGAGGTCAAAGTGCCACAAGGATACTCCTCAAATGTTAAGAGTCTTGTGTCTATGCAAGAGTTGAAATTAGTTGGTTTAAAGTCTCATGATTGTCATGTGTTGATGCAACAACTTTAGAGTGTTTGGAATTGACAATTCCAGTGTTCCATTGTACATTTCCTTGCCCGATGCTTTAGAAATTGCTGGGGGAAATTGCATGTTAAACATTTCCATCATACAATTGTGGGCAATGTAAGTCATTTTCATTTATGTTTCTAAGATTATAATAATTATATTCAACTTATAATTAATTGTTTTAGGTACCTTGACAATTTGAGTGTGGAACAAGAAAAATCCGAAGTATACGGATTTATTGAGCCTCAATCCATCCAAAAATCTGGAAATACAAAGGTTGGAATCCAACAATATATGCAAACATGGATGAGTGACTCAAGAAGACATATATATTTGGCTCCATACATTGAAGGGTTAGTATTTTGATTTGTATTTTAATTTATATTTTTGTAACTAATTTTTATGTCATACAATGTAGGTCCCATTGGCAGTTAATTGTAATCATACCCAGGATTACACTGTGGTATGGTTTTGTTCATTACATCGGAAACCGAGTCAAGAAATGAAAAGCTTATTACAAGGGTAACTTTATCTTTTATTCATTAATTATGTTTTTAAATTGTGAATACATATTGAATAATATATGACTTTTTTTCACTTAGAATCGTGATCCGGAACTAATGTTCTAAGTGGAAAACCTAGAACAAAGACATTGCAGTTCATTTATCCTAAGGTTAGAAACTTATTTATATAAGTGAATACCATAATTATTGTTTATATTTCAATTTTGAAAATAATATTATGTTTTTTTCATCATTTCAGTGTAATAAGCAAGCCGACTCGTTTGAATGTGGTTACTATGTAATGTATTGGATGAGAGCCATAGTTTGTGCGGGTTTAATTGATTCTTGGACGGAGGTAATTACTTTTAACATTAGTTAAGTTTATTTAACTTTATTCATGTTGCATGCTTACAAGAGTCAAATTCATGTTTCAGGTATTTCAAGATCCATCTCCATTACCAGAATCTGAGATTACGAAATTAGAGAACAATGGGCAAAATTTTTTGTTCTACAATTCTAGTACATTATTTTTTATGTTCTTGTTCATATTATATTGTGTGTATTATGTAGTTTAGTTTAGTTTGTATAGGTAGCTTAGTTTGTATAGGTAGCTTAGTTTGTAATAGATTTTTTAGTTTGTATGTTTGTATTATTTTGTTTTATTATGTAGTTTGAATTATATAATATTATATTTTTAATTTACTAGCAAAAGAAAACTGCTCTGGACTCGTCTGGTTGTAATTTTTGCAGGTTTTAGTTGTAAAACAGAGTAAATAAACCCAATTTAAAAAAAGCGAGTAAATTTACGTCGCATATTGGTATATACGACGTAAATTTACGTCGCATATACCAATATGCGGCGTAAATTTACGTCGCATATACCATATGCGACGTAAATTTACGTCGCATATTGGTATATGCGACGTAAATTTACGTCGTATATACCAATATGCGACGTAAATTTACGTCGTATATCTTGTATGCGACGTAAATTTTCTGTTTTTTTTTTTAAATTGAAAAGGTTTTTACGTCTGTTTATTGTATATGCCACGCAAAATTACGTCGTATCTTCATAACTGACGTAAATCTACGTCGGGTAAAAGGGTCCGACGTAAATTTACGTCTCCCGCTTTTACGTCGGACTTAAATACGACGTAAAAAGCCCTAAATACCTGACGTAAAAGCCCCTTTTTGCACTAGTGTTGGCCATCAATTCTTTATAACTCCTATCAGAATATGAGCAATTCCAATTTACATTTCAAGCAAACCATAATAGTTTTAGTAAACCAGGCACAAATTTAAGGGAAAAACATGTATTTTGTGCCTATAATATAGTGAATAGTATCCCAACTAAAAGTGCAAAAAATACATGTTTAATGGTCTCAAATTTCAGGAAATCCAACACTTGAAAACTTTTTCAACCTAGCTTATTTACCAAAAGAAAGACTTGTAGGATAAACCTGTTCTGCATGACCAAAGATATTTTCAATGTATCTATTGTGTCTTTACTGTTGGCCCCATTACCAAAAGTGGCAAGCTTCAAAACCTCCTCTTCATCAATGTCCAAATCAGTCGCTCTACGGTACAGGCCATAAACCAACTTAGCAAGAAGTAAAAGAACATATAAATATTATATCAAAAACAAGATATGGTTACTCAATCAAAATGAAGCTCCACTCACAATTTTAATGTTGCAAGTTCTTTAGCCAAAGCCATATTCTTTTCTTTTAATCTAAAAGACTCCAAACATGACTTCTCAAGCTCCTAAATCAATATAAATCTCCACAAGTTAATTCAAGCTGTAAATAGTTAAATTGTCACAAATATAGCAAAAAGCTACAGAGCAATTCACCTCTGATTTCTTATGAAACTGGAATTGTATGGATGCTTTTTATTTAAAGCCTCATTCTTTAATGCTATTTTTATCTTTGCCTGCTCCTTGCAAATACAAGGATTTTGTGTTCGAAGCAACTTTACTAATAATTGATATTAGTGCAAAGTTTCATTTTGCATTAAAATATAGTACATGGAGCTAGATTAAATTCATTTACTCTACTAAGCCACTCATTCCTCTATCATTCTAAATGCCTCATCATCAACATATTGGGGTGTTCTTAACTTTTATAGCTTAAAGTAGCAGGTCACAAAAAAAAGCACGAATCTCTAGTTTCTCTCTACTTCACCAATCATAAAAAATATAAATACATGTGCAAATGTTCATTGAGCTATGACAAAATATGAATTCTCTTCTAGACTAAATTCACAAGAATATTATCCAAGATTTCTCTTAACAACTTCCTTCAATGTCTTTATTGGTCTTCCTATGACTCCTATCCCCCTTGTGAACATCAAGTGTCACCCACTCTCACCTCAGCTTAATGCATCTCATTTACCCCACAAATTAATCTAAACATAACTATGTGAGGTCTGGTACATGAATCACACAACATCATTATATTCGGTTAAAGAACAAATTTTTGGAAATATTATTCACCAAAATATCCGCCAATCCCCTTCTTAATCTCCTCCTTAACTCCTTCCAATTCCTTTGTTTGTAGTTCTAGCTCAGAATTAAGTCCCGAAACTTTCAAAGCGCTTCTGAAGCTTCCCACCATTGTTGGCGTCCCCCACTGCTTGAAAGTAAAGCCTGCACGCGTCGCTTGCCCTGCAACTCTGCTTGCAAATCGAGAAAATGCGTTTCTTTCCTTTCGAGCAGTACTCGAACCATTGCTACAGACTGTAAACAAACACACTCAAATCAAAACGAAGGCATCTTTGAGCATATGCCTTAAAAGATTCGTCGTTTTTCTTGCTTAGTAGTTGTAGATCTGCTCTTTCAGGGGTCAGATTAATATTGTATTTATAGCGATGAAGAAAAGCATCTGCCAGATGTCTCCAGGTTTGGATTTGCCCTCCTTCCAGCTGCATATACCAGTTTAGAGCTGATTTATCCAGGCTCTCCTGAAAGCAGTGGATCAGGAGTTTTTCATTATCAGCATGTGCAGCCATCTTACGGCAGTACACTGTAAGATGGCTTCTTGGGCAGGTCATTCCCATGTATTTTGGGAAGTCCGGAGTTTTGAACTTGTTAGGAAATTGGATATTTTTGACGAGACACATATCAGTTGCCTCTTTAACATCAAAATTATGCCCCTCCATGGCTCTCAATCGCTCTTCAAGGGCAGTCAGCTGTTGTTTTGATACTTCTGGTGCATGAATATGCACTGCCCTTGTATCAGTTTGGGCTTGTTCATCATTGGGTCCCTCCTCTTCTTCTTGGTGAGAGGCTTGTCTACTTTGAGGACTCTCTTTATGGAGATTCTGCTGACGCATCATTTCTAACATCTGTGCCATTTGTTCTTTTAGCATATTAAGCTCAGTGGTGAGCTTTCGATTTTGTTCCTCCAGATGTTCCATCTTCTTGGCTTTCTGAGCACGAGTGAGGACGGGCGGAAGACCAGCCACTTTCTAAATGATTTTAACAATTTTTATTATATCTTTTTAAATGATTGGTGTATCCTGGAATGAATGTGTTTATGTATGAGAGATTTTATTATGATGATGTTTATGCATACCTTTCTTAGTGCATTTATTTTCTCTCTTAATTTTGCCACTTATTGGATGATGTGGTATGACTGATACGACTTTGCCAAGAATCTTTTATTATAAAAAAAAAAGTTTTATTGATTTAAAGTTGTTTTTTTTTATATTTTTTATGACCCTTTATCTCTTTTGTCGGTCAATGTGGCTACTTAGCTTACAAAGAACCTGAAACCAGGCTAGCTTAACTGAAGACTGTCCGAGATAAAGGTCTTTTATCTTATCACTTTTTGTGATTTTTAGGGTTTTTCATTTTTTCTGTTTGTTGTATGATTACCCTATGCTAATGCATCAATACAAATGCAGCAAACGTATGCACACACAATTCATACATCCACGAGCAGAGCCATGCTTATTTAATCACGAGGTAGGGTTTTCCTGCAGAAACGTGCTTGGTTTAGGCGGTTCTAACTGTTCTCACCAAGGCCAAAGGTCCCCAAGGTGCCCCCATTATAGGGACCTCTCAATCTCTCAGTCCTCGGGTCATGCACGGAACTCCGTGTCAACATCCTTAGACCAAAAGAAGAGAGTTATCACCTTGAGTTGGTGGTTTCCGACAACGGTTGTAGCCCCGTGTGCCAACAAGCCGGTCGTATCTGCCACCCACTCCCTATAGGTATTCACTCTTGCCCCCGGGTATAGAGGGACTGTTGTGTGCAAGGGTTTTTGTGTGCAATTTATATTTCAAGCAATTTGCAGAAGTAATCATACAGCAGTTATTAAAGCCATACAATAAAAATACAGAAAAGGGTAAAGGCGTAATTTCAAATCTTTACTTAGTTAGAATTTATCCGTCACTGAATGGGATCAACTCTCTAGCTTCCCCAGCGGAGTCGCCATCTGTCGCCGCCGTCCGTTCCGACGTCCTGGGACATCTCGAACGTTAATGCGAGCGGTCGCGAAAAGATGGTTGAGACTCGCGTTTTTTGTTAAAAATATGTTCATTGCTTCCGAGGCGCTCAACGCTGAACTATCCTCTAATAGAAGCAAGGTTTTCGAAAAGGGTTCTTTTGGAGTCGCCACCAATGTTTTGACCATAAACATTGGAAAAGGAGAAAAAGGCATTGATTTTAATAAAAACCAAACTTGGCCATTATAACCAGAGTCGGGTAAGGGAGTTAGTTACGTGTGGGGAAGGTATTAGCACCCCACAATGCCCCTTTCGGGTTCCCTATGACGGATTAATTCGTTTAAGTTAAGATTACAAGAAATTACGCTATTACCCTATTTTATTCGTACGGTATTTAAATATAGTTATCTACATGGTTTATCTACATTGCATACAGAAAGCAGTAAATAAAGCAATAAAAGGGAAGAGGATTGAGAAGAACCTCCGAAGCAAGCTTTATATTATAAGTCTTTTATACAGAGGACGCTTTGCGGCAATCCTTCACTCTACAACGACTGTCGCCGCCGTCCGTTCCGACGTCCTGGGGACGTCTCGAACGTTTATGCGAGCGGTCGCGAAAAGATGGTTGAGACTCGCGTTTTTTGTTAAAATTGTGTTCATTGCTTCCGAGGCGCTCAACACTGAACTGTCCTCTAATAAAAGCAAGGTTTTCGAAAAGGGGTTCTTTTGGAGTCGCCACCAATGTTTTGACCAGAAACATTGGAAAAGGAAAAAAGGCGTTGATTTTAATAAAAACCAACTTGGCCATTATAACCAGAGTTGGGTAAGGGAGTTAGTTACGTGTGGGGAAGGTATTAGCACCCCCACAACGCCCCTTTCGGGTTCCCTATGACGGATTTATTCATTAAGTGAAAATTATGAGAAATTACGCATTTACCCTATTTTATTCGTACAGTTATTTAGATATGGTTATCTACATGATTTATCTACATTGCATACGAGAAAATAATAAATAAAGCAAGTAAAGAAGAAGAGAATTGAGAAAAACCTCCGTAGCAAGCTTTATATTATGATTCTTGTACAAAGAGGACGCGTTTCGGCAGTCCTTCGCTCTACAATTGTTCTCTCCTCTCGATTACAGACTCGACTCGACTAAATTTTCTAGAAGAATCGAATGCCGGAATACAAATTCCTTAACTGATTGTTACCTAAAAAAGGCAATCAGAAAGATCATTCGAGAGAGGGAGAGAAGAAGACAAGTCTCTGAGTTGTCTGGTGTGTGGAATGAGACAAATGAGGCTCCTATTTATAGCCATTTTTCGCCTGGACATCTGGGACGGCCGTCTGGGTTGGGACGGCCGTCCCAACTGCATATTTTACACTGGGACAATTTGGGACGGCCTGGTGCATTTGGGACGGCCGTCCCAATTGAATTTGGGGGTTTGGGACGCGCGTCCCAAATGTGAGACGTGCGTCTCACATGCAATTTTGGTGTTTGGGACGGCCAGGTGTGTTTGGGACGGCCGTCCCAGTTTGGGACGGCTGTCCCAAACTGCTTTGGCCTGTCTTCGCGTTCCGGGACCCCCGAGAAGCTTTCCTTTCCTTTTTTCGGACGTTGTTTGATGCCGATGTGTGTCCGTTGAAGCTTTATCTTCATATAGGGAGTCTTCTTGGCCTTCATTAAGATGCCGGACGAGCTTTGTCTTCGTGTAGGAAGTCTCTTTAGTCTTTATTGTATGAATGGGTGACCTCCGTCTTATTGCGAAAAGTCTTCTTTTCTTTTATTTGGGAAACCGGGTGAACTTTGTCTTTGTGTGAAGTTCCCCTAGCTTTTATTTGAGAGGCCGGGCAAAATTAGGGGTCTACAGCTGCCCCCCCTTCACCTGCCCAACTAATTTGTTGGTTTAATATACTGACAAAGTTAGTTGGTACGGGAAGGAGTTAACCCTTTTGTCCGGTTATCCTTCGGATGCTGCTCCTTTGCTGATCCTCCGGATGATAAATATTTTGATAGGTACCAACCCCTATCTGGTTTGAGCCTCCTTTTATAAAGCTCTGGTGAGTACTTACCCTCACCTGGTATAAGTCTGTATTTTACTAGACTTTTGTGAGTACCTACCCCCACTAGGTATGAACCTTGTTTTACAAGGTTTTGGTGAGTACCTACCCTCACCCGGTATGAGTTCTCCTTTTGCTAAACTCTTGTGGGTACTTACTTTCGAGGTGCTCAACACTGAACTATCCTCTAATAGAAGTAAAGTCTTTGCAACCCATTTTTGAAATGCTTAGGTGAGTATTTTTACTCCACCTAATGCATTCTGCTAAGTTTTGATGAGTACTGACCCTCATCCGGTACAAACCTTATTTTTAAGGTTTTGGTGGGTACTAACCCCCACCTGGTGCGAATCTGTATTTTTGCTAGATTCTGATGATTTTTACACCTCTACTGGGTGCGAATCTGCATCTTGACAGACTCTAGTGGTTTTTTACACCTCCACTGGGTGCGAACCTGCATCTTGACAAGGCTCTAGTGGTTTTTACACCCCCACTGGGTGCGAACCTGCATCTTGACAAGGCTCTATTGTGCGAGTCTGCATCTTGACGGACTCTAATGGTTTTTACACCCCCACTGGGTGCGAACCTGCATCTTGACAAGGCTCTAGTGGTTTTTACACCCCCACTGGGTGCGAACCTGCATCTTGACAAGGCTCTATTGTGCGAGTCTGCATCTTGACGGACTCTAATGGTTTTTACACCCCCACTGGGTGCGAACCTGCATCTTGACAAGACTCTAGTGGTTTTTACACCCCCACTGGGTGCGAACCTGCATCTTGACAAGGCTCTATTGTGCGAGTCTGCATCTTGACGGACTCTAATGGTTTTTACACCCCCACTGGGTGCGAACCTGCATCTTGACAGACTCTTTAGGATGTATTCTTTTGTAATTCATCCTATGGTCATCTGGTTTTAGAGATGTGTTTGGCGGCTTATTGTCTTTGATCATGCGCCTATTCCTTGGGGAATGATTTGGTTTTTCACCTTGACTTTTTAGTCATCCAGTTTTACCGGGGATTTCATTGTTTTGGCTTTTTCTTTTAGCCATCCGGCTTTTGCCGGGGATTCTTTGATTTTGGCTTTTTCTTTTAGCCATCCGGCTTTTGCCGGGGATTCTTTGATTTTGGTTTTTTCTTTTAGCCATCCGGTCTTGGCCGGGGATTCTTGCAGATTGCCTCTTTTTAGGCAGGGATCCACTGGGGATTTGTTGATTTTTGATTGTGCC